TTGTATTAATATATAGCACATTTTAGCTATTTCAGAACCCAAAAGAAGCAGTTTCTGTGAAATATGTCATGCCATCTCTAGCAAAAAAACAAAACTATGTTACCTTAAGCCAGCAGGCACAGGAATATGTAACAATATATACCTTTTTCTACATTGGCACTGTTCACCAATTTCAGTATTTTTAAATGTGTATTAATAAAGGTGGAATGTAATTGTATATATTTGTATTCTTGTGCCCATCCCCTAACATATACAGTATGGGATAAAGTAGGTGATTTCTCCAAGCCAAACACAGCACCAACTTTTCTGTATAGAGAACAATAAAAGATTGGCATCATATCAGTTGCAGTTCTAAGAAGTTAGCGGTTCTCCTTTTTTTTGCATATGCTGTCATGGTATACTACAATTGTGCTGTAATAGTGTGACATGATTTGATGTGCTTGTCATCTAATTGTATGTGTGTTTCATTTCTCAGAGGGGCGCTGGAGGCTTATGTGCAGAGTGTGAAAGCCAGAGAAGGCAAGGAATTTGCTCCAGTTTATCCAATCATGGTTCAGCTGCTTCAGAAAGCCATGTCTACGGTACCATAGCTGTGTCATCAGTGACAACATCCTAACATGTAATTTGATTGCGAGGTTATGAGATAAATACGGTGATGGGGGGGGGGGGGGGATGCAATAGGAGAATGTTCACATCGTTGTTTGCTTTCAGGGATGGACATATTTGAGGATTAAAAACAAGCCGTCCAGCAATATTTCTAGAAATGTAGTCCGTCAGGCTGATGAAGAAGCAGTTTTGAAATGGAATATCTAATTTTAATACAATTATCTGATTCTAATATACACCATCAGAGGTTCATGGGCAGGTCCTTTAATTAACAAATCTAGTAAGCGTCCAATATTTATTGCATTGGGTAGCAGGTACTAGTGTTATTAGGCAAGCACCATATGTCTTAGCACTTCTATCATGAAGGAAGATCACCTGTGTGATGAGGTTCTGCTGGATGCAGCCGGTTATCTCTGTGCCACATACAAATTTTGGGTCAGTGGAACCTATTCACTGAACCGCTTGTTTAAGCACTATTATAATGTGCTTCTATCAGAGCCTGAACACACAAGTGGTTCATATTAACCATGTCACAAAGCAAATGTTTACCCAGAGCACCTCGTTCCACTGTGGGTAGATATGAATACTTTGAATGATCCCATTGGCTTTTTCTTGGAGTCTTCTATAGGCAAAATTCCCACCCTAGAGATCTTGGTTGTGTATGTTAGTGATGCCCTTTATGATTACAAAAACACTGGACTTTTCCATGATGTAAATAAGACTCCACACATGACATTACGGTTAAGTCAGCCTCTAGACTACGGGTGTCACATGGGTGGCCCTCCAGCTGATGCCAAACTACAAGTCCCATGAGACAGTTACAAGCATGACACCCAAAGGCAGATGGGACTTGTAGTTTCGCAACAACTGGAGGGCCACCAGTTTGACACCCCTACTCTAGCCCCTCCTAAGCTGACCAAACATCTGGGGAAAGATAAGCAGATAAGACTGTGTAACTGCTATTTAACCTTTAAGATATACACATGATCTGTTTGATTATAAATGTATTTAGTAAAGCTGATGTAATAAAAATTTTTAGTCTTTCCTATGTAATGTGTTATTTGCTATGTCAATTAATCAAACACACCGAACACCATTTCAACAACATTTATTTGAAATATACAAGTATATACTGTGCAAAAATTACTGGGGCATGAATATATTGAGAAGTCAAAAGACAAATTGTTTTACAGCTGTGATTCTCAAGCTATGATTGCAGCACATCTCACAGCCATACAGCCAGGACCCACAATAACAATATATGCATCTGTTTGTTTCAACAGCTGCAAGAAGTAAAGTGCAAGTGTTGCACCAGAATTAAGTGCAAAGTCACCCCCCATCATATATGACATTTTTTTTTTTTTCTCATAGCAAAATAAATTCTATCTGTAGATTCTGTAGCCATCTAAATTACTAAAGTTTATGCTTCAACAGGTTGGTGTTCCTTGGGGTCCGTACGAAATAGCTGGCCCCTTTTCCCATAAGGAAGCTAATGATCCACTTGCCTTAGTATAAGTAGCCGAGTGGCAATGAATAGTCAGTTAGTGCTCCATGCACCTTGCATTAAAATAACACGTCAGAAACATACAAATTCTAACGCCAATGATAATTAACTCTGTGCAATACATATTAATAAGCAGTAGGGTCGATAAACAGCAGTTATATGATCTATAAGTTCCCATTTTTTTTTTTTTTACCTGGTTGTTTTACAACAATACACTGATACACACCTCATTGTAGCACCACAGGATATCAATTTTTTTTTCAAGCCTAGGTTACCTGATATATAATTTTTCAAAATAAGGCAATTTGGTTTAAAATATTGATATTTTTGCATATGTAATGCTATACTTTAAAAGAGAAAACCTTCAGTCATATCACTTCTATATCGCTGCAGTTAGTGTGGTCTTGTCACTTCTCCACAATAATATGATGTCAGATTTTCTTCCTCTGTGCAGACGAATGGCAACATTCCAACATGAACTTCAACTACATTCATATTTAATGCTGTTGTGAGCCCTGGAAAAGATGCAGAATGTTAGAATCCCTAGCCTTGGAGGAATCTACAGTCTTAATTGTTTTCATGGTACAAGTTAGACCGACAGAATGCTCAAACACGGTCACAGACTATGAGGAGTACTCGACCCCAATGCTATAAATGATCTTTTCAACTTGTGTGACACCACAGACTATGATTTAACGCGCACTAAGACACTTTACATAGAAACCAAAAAACATTTAACTGATGTTTGCAATTGCAGCATGTTAGTCAAAACTATCCCATAATAATATTCTTTGGCCTTGCCTGTGAATTGGTGCAATATTAAGTCCTGCACTATCACACATATCTTCAACATCTGTCCCAAAGTTCAGAAATAGTAACATTAGTACCGTATGTTAGAATTATGATTTTTTTTTTTTCAAGATGCAAGCAGCCCATAAAAATCAGCCCCAGTGCTAACTTTCTACAGCCTCTACTCTGACTCCTGCATCAACTGCCTGAAAAAGACAGTACTGAAATGAAGAATGCCAAAACATGTTAAACTTATCAGCTTAGAGATGGTCATGGCTTCTGTATTTATAATACATACAATAAAACAAATATTTTGCTAGTCTGGTTTAAGTGCAACCAAATGTTTACATGATCATAAACAGTAAATGAGATAAAACAAGCCCTTGCTGACATCCCCAAGCTGCAGGCACTGTGGCTTAATTCATTCTTAAGGTTTACAGCAGAAGCACTTTTGTTTTCAGTAGCTTAGTTCCTTCCTCCCAGCACTTACTTGGGCACAGCCCCTTTTTCAGCTTGATGATATTCCCACTGAGTCTGCTACAAGTATCTATACATCTGCAATTTCTCCTTCCACATGCCAGCAATCCCGTAGGGATAGCGTTGTCCCCTCTGCACGTGACCTGGTATTAGATGGGAAATTCTGGACTGGTGCTATGCTTTGATCAAATCTCTTCTTGCAAGTGCATTTTATTCTTTTTAAAAAGGTGTTTATCTGCACTAGACAGTGTGCTTTGTTTTTGTGCAACTTCCAGATGTATAATATCAATCTTGAGACCCCCCCGCCCCAACCTTAACACTGATATGCTTTTCCAAGAGCCTCATCTGCGCTGGCTAAGAAGACTTCTATGGGGTCAAAAATACTTAAAAGATAACTTCATCGATGTCTACGGGGATCGACTACTCACCCAGGGAAGGGAACATTTGCAGCAAAGGATGTCAACGGATTACAGAAAGCTGTTAAAGTAGAATTTAAGGGATTTTTTTTCTGTTATGCATACACTCTGCGCTTGCAAAATTATGTGTCTTAAGGCTTTTCCAGAAGGTTGCTGTGCAGGACCTGGATTCTCTGTGACCTCTTGGCTTCAACTCTTGTAGCTGCACAGCTCAAAAGGTCCTAAGCTTCCCACAATTCCCTCTTACTGTAGTATGTCTTTGTATTCCTCTATTTCAATAGGGTGCGGAGACCATTGCTGCACAGAACAAAGGCAACCAGGCCAACTTTGTGTTCTCTCATCCCATTTGACAGACAGCTGCATTTCTTTTTTTTTTCTTTTAGAATAACAAAAAACAGAACACAGTAGTAGAAATAACAAAATAGCTAATAAAAAAGCAGGAGAGAAGGGATTAGAGAGGGGAAAGAACAACCCTAAGAAGTGTCTAATGCCTAGCAAACAAATTATTCCTATAGAGAACTTTCATTGTGAAGGAATAATTGCATCACTTCCCCAAGATGATATATGGTATGGGCTGAAAGCTAATGGACATATCTGCAGAATCCCATCAGTGCATGCAGAATTTATTGATCGCAGGTGCAATACTTTTCAGGCTCCTGCAATAAAATAAATAAATGCCCATTTGTTCCGTAAGGGAGAACTTAGTCTTTCAATATGTATCTGGGAAGGATACTTGACATCACAGGGGAGCAAAACAAAAAATTTTGTTTTCAGGTGTATTTATCCTTTAAGCATCTAAAATTATTCCAGTGGGGGTTGGTGTTGGTTAAATTCATTTTATCAAAGCAAAAACTTTAAAGTTTGTTTCTCTTTGTTATGCACATCATTCCACTTCAGCTTTTAAAACCTGCTACCAGCCACTGCATCCAATTATATATTCATATTTTGCATATTTTGGAAATAATGACAAGTGTATTCCTAGCAGCAAACTGAACTCTGTCCTGTGCTGTGTAAGCCAGCTCCAGGTACCGGGGACCACAAAACACTACTATAATGGAGGAGCTGCCAAGGGACCTGGACACAGCTGTACATTCTCTCCCCTCTCACACTTTTTTTTTTTTTTTTTTAAAAGCCTTTAAAATTTTTCGTTAGCAGAAACATGTTTTTCGCTCCCTAAGACGCACCTGACCATAAGACACGCCTAGGTTTTAGAGGAGAAAAACAAGAAAAAAAAAAAAAAAAACATTCTGAACCAATGGACTGCGGACACAGTACAGGGGATGGCCAGAGACTGCGGACACAGTACAGGGCGGACACAGTACAGGGGATGGCCAGAGACTGCGGACACAGTACAGGGGATGGCCAGAGACTGGGACAGACTGCGGACACAGTACAGGGGATGGCCAGAGACTGCGGACACAGTACAGGGGATGGCCAGAGACTGCGGACACAGTACAGGGGATGGCCAGAGACTGCGGACACAGTACAGGGGATGGCCAGAGACTGCGGACACAGTACAGGGGATGGCCAGAGACTGCGGACACAGTACAGGGGATGGCCAGAGACTGCGGACCTTTGGGGAGGGAGGAGGAGCAGGTACCTGAATTTGACAGGTACCCGCTCCCACTTCCACGGAGTTGTCCTCCCTTCAGAGCCGGCACCGCTGTGCCTAGTGCCCACTGCACGTGTGCGAGAAGCGCTGTGCTTTGTGAATGGCCCGGCGTCTACTGGGATCTGTCACGTGTCGGCTGTCACAGCTGGGTGCCCACACTGAAGATGCCAGTGCGGAAAGACTGCACAGCACTGGACCGAGGAACAGGTAAGGTCCTGCTGCAGCAGGCGGCCCGGTATTCTGACACGGTGGCGGCGGTGGGAATACCGGACCGGCCGCTCCATAAGACGCACTGACATTTTCCCCCCCTTTTGGGGGGGGGGGGGGGGAAAAAGTGCGTCTTATGGAGGAAAAAAAAAAATACGGTATATGTTTGCCACCACAGCTAGCAACATTACCAGTTTGCATTATTTCTCCACATCAAAAAAAACCCTGTAAAAATTCAATTAAATATATGTACAATGCAATTTAGCCATAAGTACATTTTCTGCACTGATGGATGACATTTTTTAAAGTGCTGTGCCATGATTTAAAGAGCTGGCATTCACAAAAATGGCTTATTACTCACTGAATTTGTTCTTTTTCTCTTCCAACAGTCAGGATTTAAGCGTTTTTGTTCTTCAGCCAGGGCTTTCGCTTCTATTGTGTATATTCTCCTTTCCTCATTCTTCATCTTTTTCCACCTGTCTCCAAGTATCACACTTATGGCTCTGGAAGAGAAAGTATGTCAAACTTGACTTAGAGCAGACCTTTGTTTTACATACAAACACAGCACTTTTTACAAACTGATGCATTAATAAAGTTTAGTTTACAATCCCAGCTTCTCCAACTAGGACTGGAAGCTATTAAAAAGAGTGCTGACCGTGTAGCTCGGGTACAAAATGCTTTCAGCTGAAAGTCTAGATGCTGACGCATGTTGCACAGCAACTGTAACCAATTTCTATACAGTAATCATGATTGATATGATTAATCATCTTCTAATTGAAAGCTGGTGGGAGACTTGTTGAAATTGTCAGGAAAAAAAGGCTTTTGTGTTTGCCGTGAAGTCAATGTCTCAGAGTCTACTAACGAACATCGCTTGACAGTAAGAAACCTAGTGTGTTCTGTTGCCTCCTTCAGGAGAAATGAACACTAGCCACATAGAAAACTAAAGGCCAACCCCCTTGCTGCTATAACCCCTCCCACAGCACTCCTACCCAAGTTGGAGTAAGTAGTCAGAGAGAGAATGATCGTGTCCTCAAATGAACTCCTATTTTCTCTATTACCCATTGTGAGACACCGCTTGTTGGGAAGAAATACAGAATGTCCATAAGCAGTCAATCATAGACAAACCATCACAATAAGAAAAAATCAAATCCACACCAAAAACAACCCAGCGCTAGTCAATTAACCACTTGCCTTCCTGAGGATTTACCCCCCTTCCTAATCAGGCCATTTTTTGCATTACAGCACTGTGTTACTTTGACTGACAATTGCGTGGTCATGCAACGCTGCACCTCAATTAAATGTACGTCCTTTTTTTCCCACTAATTGAGCTTTCTTTCTGTGGTATTTGATTGCCTGTGTGTTTTTTTTATTTTTGGCTTTAAAAAAAAAAAAAAAAAAAAAAAAAAAGAACGACAATTTTGAGAAAAAAAAAAATCTGACTTTTTGCCATTAAACATGCCCAGTAAAAAAAAAAAAAAAAAAAAATTTTTAAAAATTCAAAATTTCATCATAACTTTACGCCAAAATGTCTTTGCTAAAAAAAAATCCCAATACGTGTAAATTGATTGGTTTACGTGAAAGTTATAGCGTTTACAAATGGAGGTATAGATATTGGAATTTTTTTTTTTTCTAATAATGGCAGCGATCAGCGACTTATAGTGGGACTGCGGAAGGCATTCTGACACTGGGGGGGGAACTGACTTGGGCTCACTGACATCCCCAGTGACACCAATACAGTGATCAGTGCTTCAAAAAAAAAAAAAAAAAAGAAAAAAAGCACTAACTCTGTACTAATGGCACTGGGCAGGAAGGGGTTAACATGAGGGGTGATCAAAGGGTTAACTGTGTGCTGGGAGTGTTTTACGGGGGGGGGGGGGGCGGTGTGTGGGTGCTTCACGGTAAGCACACTACTCTGGATGGCTATGCCATCCAGAGCATTGTGACTGGAGCAGACAGGGAGGACGACTGTTAGTAAACAAAGCAGCCCTCCTCCCCATCGGAGATCCTCAGTAATTACTAGCCAGGACCCAGTGATTGACAGCCGCAAATGGCGGCGCAGGTAGGGGGGCTCACGCCCCTTACCCAGAAATGCAAAATCACATATATACGTGTGATTTTGCACACCCCTGCCGCCCTGTAGCAGTATATCTGCTATAGGGCGGTGGTAATGTGGTTAAATATATATGCCAAAAACAAGTGTAGATGTTGCTGCTAACAGTCATGTGTTCCCACACCCAAATTTATAATACAAAATCAAGGGCAGCACAACAAAGCAATACAAATACAGTTGTGTTCAAGATAATAGCAATCCAACATCACTAACCAGAGCAATCCAACATCACTAACCAGATCAATCACTGTTTTTGGTATAAATTATATTCCTACATGGCAAATAATTTATTAACAGGTGTAGTAGAGTAATAGAAAACCAAAAGACCCAACAGTCATGACATGCATGCTGCTGATTCTGTGTAATTGAATAATTGAAAGGGGCATGTTCACAATAATAGCAGTGTGGAGTTCAATTAATGAGGGCATTCAGTCTTTGAAAAAACAGGGGTCAAACAGGTGGCCCTTGTAAATGCTGGGTATAATGCATTTCTCTCTGAAAGTCTGAGTAAAATGGGTCATTCAGACATTGTTCAGAAGAACATCATACTTTGATTAAAAAGTTGGTTGGAGGGGGTGAAACATGAAAAAAGTACAGAAACTGATAGGCTGCTCAGCTAAAAAGATCTCAAATGCTTTAAAAATGGCAACCAAGACCAGAAAGCAGTGGAAGAAAACAGAAAACTGCCATTCGATTGGATCAAAGTATAGCCAAAATTACAAAAACTCAGCCAATGATCAGCTCAGGGTGATCAAAGAAGGTGTAAAGTTACCTGTGAGTACTGTTACAATTAGAAGACGCCTATGTGAAGCCAAGCTATCTGCAAGAAGCCCCCGCAAAAACAACTGTTGAAAAAACAATGTGCTGAAGAGGTTACAATTTGCCAAAGAGCACATTGACTGGCCTAAAGAGAAATGGCGCAACATTTTGTGGACTGATGAAAGAAAGATGGTTCTTTTTGGGTCTAGTGGCCGGAGATAGTTTGTCAGACGACCCCCAAACACTGAATTCAAGCCACAGTACACTGTGAAGACAGTGAAGCATGGTTGCACAAGCATCATAAGGGGATGTTTCTCATACTACGGTGTTGGGCCCATTTATCGCATAGCGGGGATCATGGATCAATTTGAATACATCAAAATACTTGAAGAGATCATGTTGCCTTATGCCGAAAAGGAAATGCCCTTGAAATGGGTGTTGCAACAAGACAACGACCCCAAACACACCAGTAAGGAAGCAGCATCTTGGTTCCAGACCAACAAGATTGACGTTATGAAGAGGCCAGCCCAATCTCCAGACCTTAATTCGATAGACAACTTGTGGGGTGACATAACAAAATATGCTGTTTTTGAGGTAAAACCAAGAAATGCAGAGGAATTGTGGAATGTAGTGCAATCATCCTGGGCTGGAATACTTGTTCACAGGTGCCAGAAGTTGGTCAACTCCATGCAACACAGATGTGAGCAGTTCTCAGAAACTTTGGGTATACAACTAAATATTAGTTCAGTAATTCACAGGAAAGCTAAATCTTCAAGCATTTTTTCAGTTTATACAGTAAATGTTTGAGATTGTAAAGAAAAATGCAGACAGTGCTATTTTTTTTTTTTTTAACAGCCTAATAATCACTTTTCTTCACTTTTTGTAAAGTAATACATTTCAAACATTTTTCTTCATGTTTTGATTTGGAATAGACTCTGCAGTGTTCCCAACTCGTTTAGGTGTATGGAAAGAAAAGCCATTATAAAGATTCTGAGCTTTACTCATTTTACTCATTTTTTAAACACACTGCTATTATTTTGAACACAACTGTATAAATGTGCAAAAAGAAAAAAAAAAAAGGAAAGAAAAAAAAAAAAAAAAGTACATGTACAAACACACACACTGGCCAAAAGTATTGGGACACCCCTTCAAATCATTGGATTCAGGTGTTCCAATCACCTCCATGGCCACAGGTGTATAAAATCAAGCACCTAGGCATGCTGACTGCTTCTACAAAGCAGAATGGGTTGCTCTTAGGAGCTCAGTGAATTCAAACGTCATACCGCAACAAGCGGTTACCTGTGTAATAAGTCCATCCATGAAATTTACTTACTACAACTGTTAGTGGTATTATAACAAAGTGGAAGCAACTGGGAACAACAGCAACTCAGCCACATAAAATGCCCAAGCAGGGTCAGCGCATGCTGAAGAGCAAAGTGTGCAGAAGTCACCAACTGTCTGCAGAGTCAATAACTAAAGACCTCCAAACTTCGTGTGGCCTTCAGATTAGCACAACAGTGCATAGAGAGCTTCATGAATTGGGGTTCCATGGCCGAGCAGCTGCATCCAAGTGCAATGTAAAGCTTCGGATGCAGTGGTTTAAAAGCACGCTGTCACTGGACTCAAGGGCACGGAGGACGTATTCTCTGGAGTGACGAATCACGCTTCTCTGTCTGGCAATCCAATGGATGTGTCTGGCGGTTGCCAGGAGAACAGTCCTTGCTTGACTGCATTGTGCCAACTGTAAAGTTTGTTGGAGGGGGGATTATGGTGTGGGGTTGTTTTTCAGGGGTTGGGCCCCTTCCAGTTCCAACATGACTTCGCACCAGTGCATAAAGCAAGGTCCATAAAGACATGGATGAGCAAGTTTGTGGTGGAGGAACTTGACTGGCCTGCACAGAGTTCTGACCTTAACACGATAGAACACCTTTGTGATGAATCAGAGCAGAGACTGCGAGCTAGGCCTTCTCATATGACATCAGTGCCTGACCTCACAAATGTGCTTCTGGAAGAATAGTCAAACATTCCCATAGACACACTCCTAAACAGAATAAGATATTACTTCTCCAAGTTCAGGATTGACCTGAAGTCCTCCAAGGTTAAATAACAACTGAAACACTGGCAACCAAAGCCAAACTCTGAGAGGTTCGATGTCACAGCAGCAGATCATCCAGATATCCAATGACTGGTCGAAGGAGACCCAGAACTGGTGCGAGTATCTTTGTGAATACTCTGAGGCTGAGTAAAGGCCAAAAGGGAAGGGTCACAAACTGATAGTTGCACTTGACCATGGCAAAGTAAAGAGCAGTTGATGACTTGGAGAGATGGGATGTAAATACACATCCTTTATGCTGACCGATTATATAACAAAGCTTCATAAACGGTTACTCCACCAACTAGCACTTAAGCCAGAGTGCCCTGCAGATCTAAAAGGGTTACCCGAGATATAACGGGGCTAGCATCCAGCAACACATTGCACAAAGTCCAACATGATGGTCATCTGTCCAAAAAATGAGTGTCAACACCAGCACCCAACAGATCCCGGTTTAGTAATTTAGGATGGTCAGCCAAACAGATCTCACCAAAAAGTAGATTCTAGAAATTGCTTTCAACTTCTTGTCAGTAGGGTTCTTA